CCCCACACCACCTCAATGCCCTGAAGAGTGTCGGCCGGCCGGGTCCAGGCGCTCCTGGAACCCACCCGAGGATGCGGGCTTCACGGGCTGAGGAGAAGCCGCGAGGCTCCTGGCACCCACGAGTGGCTGCGGGCTTCCGGCACGGCGCGAAAAACCCTGAAGGGGAAGTTATCCCACTTCCCACTGAGGAGCCCGCGGCGGGACTCGAGGCCCAGACGCAGGCGCGAGGTGGGCCTCTTCCCTCTCCAGGCGGGAAGGAGCCACACGACGGCCGCCTCCGGAGAGCGACGGCCTCGCGTCCCCGCCCCCAACAGGCTGGCTCGGGCTGCTCCCACGATCTGTGGGCAGGGACCAGGAGCCGACGCTGACAAACGAAGGCGACACCCGCGCAAAGAGGCCTGAATCACGAGGCCACTTGAGAGCTCTTCTGTGCCTGTCCAGCTACAGCCCCCTAGGCAGTGAGTTTATTCTGCTTGCTGAGGATGTCCCATTGGAGTCATCGCTATGGCACCACGTCTTAAAACAGTGCCCCGTCCTTGTGAATGGGAAGTTCACAACGCCCACTTTCCCAAATTGAGACCAGTGCCCTCAGGTTGTTGGAGAGAACAGAAAATGTACAGAAAACCCCAGAAGGAAGGAGCAAATTTGTTTCAAAAATCTTATCCGTGACTTACAAACACGTTCAGAGGATTTTTTTTTTCCAGCTACAGGCTGAGCTGTCTTACAGGGCATTAAAAATGGAAATCTTTATTTTTTTTCCTCGATGTTTTTAAAGAAATCCTGTTGCTAGGTCATTAATCACATTATCCATTCTACCAGAAACAAATGGATTTGTCACTTGTGCACAGAAGCTGAGGTTGATACTGAAAACAAATTGTATCAAAATAAATGAAATTATTATGATAATATAAAATACACTGTAGTGATTAATCTCTAGAAAACAAATTCTGACCTGCTTTGCACTTCAAACAATAGCTTCTGTTATGTAAATAGTTGCGCAAGGTTTTCAAGGACAATATTACTAAATTATAAGAAAAGTTTTATTCATGAAAATCTCTTCAAGGATAAGAAATAGAGGCCGGTGACCTGGTCTACACAGTCTATGTAAAGCAGAGGACAATGGAAGTATGATTCAGGTAAGAATATTCATTTAGTGGGAAAAGTATGGGGTGGGAGATGGGAGGAGTTATGGACTAATGTCTCTGTTGGTCTGTATAATCAGTTTCACCTTGTAAATATGACCTTGAGTAGACTCCTTCCTACATTTTTCCTACTTGCGCTCCTTGAAAACTCTGAAAGTTCATATAAGCCCACATATACCCAAATTGCAATAATGACAGCAACAAGGTTTCAAACCACTTTATAAAATATTACATTTAAATGATTCCATGTCTGGAACAACTCCACACATGTTCAGAATTATCCAGATAAGGATGTGGCCTTTTAATTTTCCACTCATAAATTTGATGTTCTTTTTTTCATCTAGGTAGATCTTAATTAGATATGACAGTAGATTATTATTGTTTCTATACAGCTCCGTATATCCTTGACATAGACTAATAATTCATATTTGCAGCTACTTTAAATAGAGGCTTGTTCATTTAATAATTAAATAAAATTGAGTGTATTTCCAGAATTCTAATTTCCTGCTGAACAAAGAAGGCAGTGTACAAGAAGACATAAAAATAGCATATATCCCAAAATAATTACTCTTAAATTTCTTAAAAGAGATTCCAGTGTGAGAAGTGATCATTGAAATTGCCAAAGCCCAGATGGAAAGAGCCAGGCATTGGAGATGTTATTTTCTCTGGAGGCAGTAAAATTAGAGGGCTTAGTTAACAGGGTAAATGCTATTTAGGGTTTTATTTTATCCTTGTATTGCAGTGGAAAAATTGTTGGTTTAGAAATGAGTTCGAGTCCTAATACCAGCTGTCATTAGCTAAGTAGTTTTGGGCAAGGCATTTCTCCTGTCTGGACTTAAATTTCCTTGTGTATGAGATAAGGGAATTAGGCTAGACTTGTAACAGTCCTTCTGGCTATATTCAATAGCTTGGTGGTTTGGAAAAGAAGAGCTGACTGTTCAGTGTGACAGAGATTTCAGAACATGTTTTCTTCTGTGTGTGTGTGTGTGTTGGAAACCACCTGTAGCCGAGAGTAAGTATGGAAAGGCAGGCTGGTTGTATAATACTGCACGTAACACCATACAAACAGATGCTGTAGCTGTGGTTGAAACCTGCTGTCAGCAGCATGGTGGTACATCCTTTACTCAACGCAAGAAAGACCCTGCATGTGTGATTCATGCTACCCATGAGAATAGTTTTGTGAGTGGCAGAGACCAGGGCCTACAGATTTTCCTCCACTTGAAAAGTCGTGCAGATCTGCAGCAGTGAATCAGCACCACCTAATCCTTTAGTGTAACTGATGCTGCAGCATAGTAACCACCCACTCATTCACTATGTCCCAGGTCAGCTGAGAGCCCAGTATGTACTGAAACCATGTGCTGGGAATCCTGATGAGCTCATTCTACCTCCATTTTATTGCCCCATCTGTTTGGCTCCCTTGTTCTTCTCACATGCATTTTTATCTTGATCTTCTGGGAAATGTGCTAATTTCCACCATGCCATCATAGGATACCATCTTCATTTTTTTTTACATTTCCTCTGTGCTCAGTGTTACTTGCAAAGTCAAGAATGGGGGTGTGAGCTCATTTACACAGAATCCAAGGACAGCACCCAGTACATGTGACTCAGGAACTGTTCTCGGTGCTGAATTTCAGTCAAAGAGGGAAATAAAAGGGGGGGATTCAGTGCTGATACAACAGGAGTTAGAGGCTTCAAGGGATCCTGACTAATCCCTTTATGCATAAAATGCTAAGACTCTTTTAAGAGTGGATTTTTCACTAGGCCAAACTGCCTTGTGGAGTGGAAAGAGCTTTATTTTTGGAGTCACATGGCTCTTGTTTCAGTCCAGATTTGTATCTTACCATTTAACCTTAAGAGAATAGCTTAACCTCTGACTCGGTTTTCTCTCTCTCAAATTAAAGCTAAATTTTCTACCAATAAGTTTCATCTGCCTGAGTGAAAGTTATTTGCTGTATTACCAAGAATTTTTTGCAGGCTCAAGTGAGACAATGTATGAGAACATGTTTGGCATTTGTGAGGTGCACGATAGATGCTAATTGCCCTTTTCTTCCATTTTTTTTCATAGAAATAGACCTGAATTATATGTTCTATAAAAAACAAAACTTTAATTTTCCTTTATTTTTTACAATACCATTGAGTATTAAAAGGTAAGAATCTTGAGAAAGAACAGGCCAACCTCCTTGGAGGAATAAGAGAATGAGAACTTCAGGAAATGTCTCAGCAAGAGAAAGATATTCTACTCTGGTTTTTTATGTAAAGCATGGTGTTATTAAACTTTAATCAGAAAATTCAGTCACAATGCAGTATTTGACATCTATACTAATTTAGGGTGTATCAGTAGTCCATATCATTGGTCCCAGCTAAAAGATCTGTAGCATTGAGTATTTCAGCAGTTCTGAGTTTATATTGCTAAAGGGATCTATTAAATATATTCCCTTGAGATAAAGTAAAATATCTTCCTTCAGTGCATCTGAGTTTGTCTTGAATAACCTATTTGTAATTTTATCTTGGAGCACGTAATATGGGACACTGAGTTCCAGGAAATGTTACTGTACAAAGGCATGATCACATGAAGCTGGAGAGGCATGATATGAAGGATTGGTTGTTAATACACAACTGATATCATTAAACACAGCTTGGTGGTGACTTCTGACTTCAAGCAATAGGATAAGTCAATGGATCGATTAGGGATAATAGCTCAATTTTTAAATGTAAAGGATGGTAGACTGGGAGTGGAAGTAGGCTGGGGGAAGGGAGCTTGGTTTGCTCTGAGGAAATCTAAGAATGTAGTTTTTATTTCTCTATATTGAGAAATACTAAGACACTGCTTTACTTTTATTCCAGTTACAAGTTGCAAAATTGGCCTAACTCTGATAAAGATTTGTAGCTAAATATCTCCATGTGGTTTAAACACATAGGGAGCCTGTGTGAATCTTTGAAAGTGAGAGTTGGAAGAGATTTTATATAATTTTGAAGACTAGGAAACAGTTCAAGAAAGGTTAAATGGCCATGAGACTATTTAATAGCAGGGCCAGGTAGAACTCAGGCCCTTTGATTCCCAGTAAAGAGCTCTTTTTTCTCTACCGTTTTCGTAAGTCACTCTTTAACCTATTAAAATGTTTACTCTTTGAAAAGAGCTTTCTTAAAATTAATAATTTTCTGTCGATTCCAGTGGGTTCTGTCATTCTCCTGAAACTCTTGAGGCACTCAATTTTGTTAGTTAGGTATTTTTTAACTTACAATGTTCTATTGTTGGTTTCTATATTATTGTATTCTGATTTTCTCCCTTGCTTTTTAAGCTGGCTGGCTGGACTTCCGTCCCTTCCTTCATTGCTTCCTTTCTTCCCTCTGTGTTTCCCTCTTTCCTTCCCTCTCTCTTTTTCTTTCTTGAGAGCTTGTTTGGAGGTTCTAGCAGGGTAGTGTATCTACTCATATACCTTTGAACAAGAAAACAGTCCTCTATTGAAGATAGTCATCCTCTTCCACTGAGCAATGCAGCTTTGGGAAGAATACACATGGAATGATGAGGGAGGGGATACTTGCCTAGCCAGCCAGATCAGATTAGTCAACCCTGGTGACCAATAGGGTGATGTGTTGCAACCAAATTGCTCTCATACCACTTCTCTTCTTTTTTTACTGGATATTTTTTTCATTACCTGCCTCTTCAGTATATGGGTCTGAAGTTGAGTGGTCCATAGCTCTCTTCTTTTTCTCACTGTACTTTCTACCTTAACAGTTGTGTGTTTTTCAGTTATGTTAGTGACTATCTCTGATCTGTTCTAGGATCCAAAGAATAATAAACCAGTTACATGTTGGACATCTCAAGGATTTACTACCAATATTTCAACCCAGCTAAATTTATTCTTCTCTTCCTCATCTTTCTTTTTCATCCTCACATATTACCTATTTCCTGTGTCATAAGTGCTTTCTGTATCATCCAAATTCAGACCTTTGGAGTAATCTGTATTTCCTCTACCCCCATTCAGATTCTAGTCAGTTTCTAAATCTTAATTCTACTTTTACAATATATCAACTCTATTTTCACTGTTACAGAACCTCATTTATTTTGTTCTAAATGATTCAGTTGTCTCCTAGCGAACTTTCCAATCTACCATCTTTATTTCAGCTTACACTGTATTTCCAGATCATGTTTCCTGAAAAACAACATAAAGCATTGAATTCCCCTGCCCAGAAATCTCTAATATTTCCCTATGTAAATGTATAAACTCTTCAGTCTCCATCATTTCCCCCCATCTTCCTTTTCAACCCTATTTTTTACTATTGTGCTTAATCCACCCTTTATTCCAAAGTAAACTGATACTCTTCACTTATGACTCACATTTTCCCTTCTCCAGATATGGGGGGTCAGGTAGTTTCCTACATCTAGAATGATGTTTCCCCCATTTCTAGAACCACAAAACCCACTCATTCTTCATGACTCTGCTTATAAGTCACTTTCTTCAGAAAGTTTATCTTAGCTTTACTCAGTTTGAAATGACACTAAAAGGATAGTAGTTCATTGTATTCTCTTTCTCTTTCTACTTTCAGCCCTGTATTATTCCATGTGGGCAACTTCTAAGTCTGATATTCTTCTTTCTTTCCATAAATCTATTAGGTGTCTTTGTGCACATTCATAATAGTGTTGTAAAAAAGAAACCAAGAAGGTTTTGCTTAACTTACAATCTGTTGTGCCACTTTATAAGAAGAAAGTCACTGTGTTAGAATGGAAATAGATATTTTTTGGAGAAGTTGGTAATTAGATTATCCCTTCAAAGGGCCAGTGAAGTACATGGTAGGAAATTTAGGGAATCTGGCAGAGAGGGCAAAAGAAGGGAAGGTTGAAACCATTTGAGAAAAACAAAATATGTAGTTAGTAATCTCTGACTTATAGTCCTTTGTTCCAAATCTGTTCACTGTTTCCTAGGATACTTTACGATAAATTTATCTCATTTTTAATAAATATCACCTATCATCTAGAAGTAAGGACAAGGTAA